GATACTAGTATTACTCCAACGCCACATCCCTTTTGGTTTGAGGCTCCATCGAAGTACAAGGTCCATGTATCGTCTTTGGTGACCATCAAGTCTTTGTCTGGAAATTCATTATCGTGTATTGGAGTCGAATCTTCTATTGGAAATTCTGCTAAAAAATCTGAAACCACATATCCTTTGATAGCTTTTTGTGGCATGAACCTTACATCGAACTGGTCTAAGTTGATTATCCATCTTGATATGCGCCCATTGAGTGTAGATTTCTCGAATAAATATTTGAGTGGATCTAATCGGGAAAGTACAAAGACTGTATGCACGAGCATGTAATGTCTTAACTTGGTTGTGGCCCACACCAATGCGAGGCACAATTTCTCAAGTGGTGTATAGCGTGCTTCATACTCGAGCATCTTTTTGCTTAGATAGTAGATCACATTTTCTATGCCTTCTACTTCTTGTTCTAGAATGGCTCCCATTGTCTCCTTGGTGACTGTTAAGTACAATCTAAGAGGTATTCCCGGAAGTGCTGGTGCTAATACGTGAGGATTTGCGAGATAGGCTTTAATCTTTTCAAAGGATTTTTGACACTCGTCATCCCATATTACTAGTACATTGTTTTTAAGCTTTTTGAAGATTGGTTCACATATTGTTGTCAATTTTGATATGAACCTGCTTATGTATTGCAACCGGCCAATAAATGCTCGAATTTGCTTCTCGGTATTGGGCAGTGGCATTGACATGATTGCCTTGATCTTGGTTAGGTCTATCTCTATTCCTCTAGAGCTTATGACATAACCCAAAAGCTTGCCTGAGGTGACTCCAAAAGCACACTTGTATGGATTTAACCTCAAGTTATATTTTCTCAGCCTTTCGAAGAATTTTTTCAAGGCTATTTGATGGCCTGGGCGATCTTTTGATTTAACAATCATATCGTCCACATATACTTCAACTTCTTTATGCATCATATCATAGAGCAAGGCAATCGCTGCTCATTTGTAAGTAGCACCCGCGTTTTTCAACCCGAATGGGATTACCGTGTAGCAGTAAGTGCCCCATGGTGTTATGAAGGTTGTTTTCTCCATGTCTTCTTCCGCCATGAGAATCTGCTTATAGCCCGCGTATCCATCCATGAATGAGAGAAGTGCATGATTTTCTATGTTATCCACCAGAATATCGATGTGTGGTAAAGGGAAGTCGTCCTTTGGACTTGCCTTATTTAGATCTCGATAGTCGACACACATTCTTACCTTTCCATCCTTTTTCGGAACTAGGACGACGTTGGCGATCCATTCAGGGTATTTGGATACCTTGATAAAACCTGCAGTTATTTGTTTTTGAACTTCTTCTTTTATTTTAAGAGCTACGTCGGGTTTCATTCGACGTAACTTTTGTTTTACAGGTTTCATTCCTGGAATTAATGGTATGGTGTGTAGAGCTATTTCTTTATTAATGCCTGGCATATCTTCATATGACCAAGCGAATACATCGATGAATTCTTTAAGCAAGTTAATTAAATCGGTTTTTTTCTTGTTCGTTAAGTGTTAATCCGATTTTAACTTCTCTTTTATTGGTTGAATCATTTGAGATATCAACCGTCTCAGTTTCTTCAATTACCGATGTTTTATTTTCAAGTGTTTCCATTGCTTTAATAAGTTCTTTGTCATTTTCATTGTTAGTTAAGCAATGCTCGTCATCTTGGATTAAAGACGAACACAAAGAGTAAGGGGAAGAAGACATATTATTAAATTCCGAGATCATTACATCAAAGAGAGATATGTCCTCAGGGACTTGATCACTAACTATCCTAGGGGAAGAGATAGAAGGAGGGGGCGCTACAACTAAAGACTTAGATGACTCTATAGGGAGAGACTCTGACTCTGACTCAGAAGACTCTTCGAACATCGGTCCTTGCCCCGTTGTGATGGAGATTTTCCTTCCGCTTGGAGTAGTTACTTTGACGGTCTTGCGCCACCCTTGTAGTGATCCTTCCGTTGGAGTGATGAGCTTTGAGGGATCAAAGCTTTCGTTATGTAGGACTGTTTGGATGAGCGAGGAGTTATCCTGTTTGTATGTTGGCTCATCTTTGTCTCGCCCAAATAGTAATTCTATGACAGGAGTTGGGATTTCGTCTATGAAGTACCAATCTAGGAAAATCTCAAATCCCGGTTGCCTTATGCCATTTACAACAAACGGTTCAGGAAATTCGTAGCATGGATAGTCCTCTCCTTCTTTTATGAATTGTCCATTGAGGGTGAGAGGATACTGATCCATTGGGATTTCTTTCTTTTGGATGCGAGCGTCCTTACGTGCCTTTGACTTTTCCTGGGCTCGCTTGAGATCTTCCCGAGTCGGTTCGAAACTAAGTCAGAAAGTGTCTAATTTAGGGAGGCCAGGTGATTCCAGCGGTTTTGCTATTCCTTTTTTCTATCCTAGGGTCATCCTAGGAAAATGTCCTTGCTTCTTCAGAATAGCGTTCACTATCATATTGGAGTGGGGGTCGTGGTAGAGAGGGGTCCTTTCATCCTCCTCAATAAAGGAGACCTCTTCATTAAAGCCCCACAAATCTTCATCATCTTCATCATGCTCCACATTAATTATTGGATTTTATATGGCTTTAATCTTCATGAGTGAAGCATCTATTGTAATGGGAATTCCTCCAACTATGGCCTTTACCTGTTGGTAGAGATATGAAGGGACGGCCTTTAGGTCATGAAGCCAAGGGCGTCCCAACAATAGATTGAACGAAGCCTTAATGTCTATTACTTGGAATAGTAGCGTATTCTATTGTTCCCGCCGTTATATTTTCATAGTGATCTTACCAAGAGCTTGACGACGAGTGTTGTCATAAGATCTTATTCCTTGCGTTGACGGGGTTAGGTCTTAATCCCTTATGCCTAGCATCCTCGCAATTCTGAGTGGACAGACATTAGTGGCCGATCCATTGTCTACAAGAGTCATAAGGACATTCATTCTCTTGCAAACCATTGTGAGATTTAACGCCTTATAATGCTTGTCACCTTCTGGAGGTTAGTCTTTGTCGGAAAAGGTAATCAAGTTGATAGGACTAGGGAGATCACTCGTAAGGAAGTTAGCTAACCCCTCAGGAGTGGTGTCAGAATCTATCCCAATCTTATCCAAGGCATTAATTACTACCAACCTATGCTCTCGAGATGTTGCCAGAAGCTTCCATACGTTCATTTCAACCTTGGTTTTCTTGAACTGTTTGACAATGTCATTGTCTTCTATGATAGGTATGGGAACTTGCTGCGTGGTTGGCATAGGTTGTGTCGAAATAGGAGGTTGCATTATCTCGGATCTTGTGAGGACGTCTATTGATGAATCTTCTTCGACCCAGAAGTCATCCATGGCATATGACACCGAAGGTGAAGGTCCTACCATGTCTTTTAAGTAGACGTCTTCTTCATCACTGTCCCAAACTCCATTAATATTTACGTCTTCTTCTTGTGGAATTTGGACTAGTCTTTTGTCATCAATCATTTTCTGAATTAAATCCTTAAATTTAAAACAGTTTTCAATAGTGTGACCCCTTGATTGATGATATTGACAATATAATCTATCAATTCTTTTCAATGATTCAAATGGTCTCGGTTCGAGAGGTTTTACCTCGCCACTCTCGGAGAGCATTTTGAACATTTGAGCATATGGAATCCCAATTGGAGTATAGAGTATATTACTCTTCTTGGGTTTCTTCGATAGGCTTGATGAGAGATGAGGGATCAACCTCATTTTCCTCATCAGAGATGGCAAAGGAGTGAGCGAGGGGCGCATTATCAATACTTGGCTTCTTACTTGCAGGAGGCAATGGTAGCTTGTTATTGTCGATTAAGTCTTGGATAGCTTCCTTAAGCTTCCAACATTCTCGGTAAGATGGCCCCTACCTTGATGATACTTGCAATGTGCATTATTGGGGTTCCAATTAGCCGTCCTCTTCTCGACTGGTGGGTCCCCAAATGGTCCAATAGGAGTTATAAGACCTTTTGCATTTAATCGGTCAAATGCGGTGTCATAACTCATGCCAATAGGAGTAAAGTTCCTCCTAAATGGTTTCTTTTGTCCTTGATTATTCATAGCGAGGACTTCACTTAAGTTAAAGGTGCTAGCATTGTTCGAGTGGGTGGTTTTGGAAGAAGAAGGATTGTCGTTCTTCTTGCCTTTCTAGCCACTGTTGGAGTTATTGTTAGCAGCTTTCAGCTTAGCCAGGTCGTCTTTAATATTGATTCCGATGTCGTAGACGGCCTTGAAGGTGTGGAGATTATTCTGGTATTTAAGATGCTTGGAATATTTCTCTTGAATGTATTTGATGAATAGCCTCACAGATTCTTTTTCACTTGGCACTTCGATCATCTTAGTAGAGGTCTTCTCCATTTGTTGAAGATAGAGGTGAAACCTTTATTCTCTTTCTGCTTGAGGATTTCAAGTTCCCTATAGTTAGTCTCAACTTGAATATTGTACTTGTATCTATCAATGAAAGCGTTTACTATGGACTCCAAAGTAGAGGTTCTTTCTTTCACTACTACATTTTTGATCTATTGCAACCCCTAATTCCGTTGCATTAGGCATCAAAATCCGTGGCATTAGGTCTACTGCAACGGCCATGTACCGTGGCATCTATGATCCGTTGACACGGTATTTGACACCTAATGCCACGGTATCTATGATCCGTTGCATTAGCTTAATACCTGATGCTATGGAATAATTTATCCGTGGCAATAGATTACTAACTAATAATTATGATGAAATTGGCACCTAATGCAACGGATGAAGCGTTGTATAGAGTACGTATCTACTACAACGGTATTATTATTATTATTATTATTATTATTATTATTATTATTATTATTATTATTATTATTATTTATTTTTTTAGAATGGAACGGTAATATAAAATATATGTGTAAATCACTAATTAGTCTCTACAAATCTAAATACACTAACAACATAAACAAAAAATCATTAAATTTATATATAATAATTATAATGCTAATAAATACGTACGACATTACAAAAATATTACTTGCTTGTTTTCGGTATAGTATTACACCCTACTAACAAACTAAAGTTATATAATTGATTCAATTGTCCAAAATACAAATTCCAATATATATGTAGCCGGATTTTCTAAATCTTCACAAACTTGAACTTAATAGAATAGAAGTCGCCAACATATTTGCACCATTTGTGTCAGATGACTAGTAGTTTAGTCACTCTACTTCATCTCCATTTTGCTCGCCATGCACCTACACGTAAAATAGAATAAAATAATAGAACTAAATAATAGAAAATAATTGAATTAAATAATAGAACTAAATCAAGGAAACTCATAAAGCACAGTACAACAATTGTAGTCTTTCAAATGACAGAGGAATTGGAATGAAAACCTTAATAAAAGTAAAGCAATGTTAGAGCCTAGAAAAGCAAAGTCCAATTTAAGAGACGTATACCAGTGACCTCGCACCTTTACACCAAGGTCTTAACAGTATAGTGCCCTTGACCCTGTTCGAACACTAAGCAAATCAAGACCTGGGCTTGACATCCTTCAAGACTCAGGAAAATGTCCTAACCCTAAGTTCAAACCCATCATCTTTAAAAAAAAAAGTTAAAACCCATCATGACCTGATCATAAATTCAGCTTGAATCTAACATCATGCTGGAATTTTCGTCAATGCTCAACAAGATAAAAATTACAAGATTTGAGGCCCAATGCAAATCAATGTAACCAACCAATCAGAACAAGCATACCAGTAAAAGCATAATGAACGATTATTCAAAATTATAAAAATTAAAAAGAATCAACCTGGTCAATTGCACAAGGAATTCAACTATATTTTTGTTTCAGCTTCACAAAAGAAATTTCATCATTATATATACTTAATCTATGCTCTGTTATCCGTAGGAAACACATGACCTCTCAAGTTTGAATATCAATTTCCCAAAAGTAGGACTAAAGTCTAATCTGCACAGGACACACATGACCTCTCAAGTCTTTATACTTAATGTTCTGCTCACTTCCAAACAGAATTCTGAAGACATAAATAGAAGACAAACAGATCCTCAGAAACAACAAAGCAAAACAACTTTCCAGTGAAGAATATTCCGAATACTTACTCATCAAGAATAGGGTCAGACCTACATTGGAGGAGAAAACAGGACACCAATAGAAGGAAGTTTTAGGGATCAACACCGAGAGTCAACTCAACATTTTTTTGTAAGAAAAAAAAAGTAGAAAATCAAATGAACTAGAAGAAAGGAACTTTGGGAAGTAGGAACATTTTTTGCAACTCATATTCAGTAAGCTGACTTTGGGAAGTAGGAACTTTGGGTCCACTCGGTTTCATCTAGAAAAAAAAATGGAAGTATGTTAATTATGTATGTAAATATAATAAATTGAAATAAATTGCCATGTAAATATAATAAACTGAAATAAATTGCATTGTAAAAAAAATGGAAGTATGTTAATTATGTATGTAAAATAACATTTAGTGAAGTATTAAAATAATGTATGTCAATACCATCTGAAAACTCTCTAGGAGGGATTTGAACAGCATCATGCCAACCTTCTCTATTCAAATCTTCCACATAAAACACTTGATGTGCTTGAGTTGCTAAGATAAAAGGTTCTTCTTTAGAAACGGTCTTATTCATATTAACCGTAATAAGCTCATCATCATCCTTCTCTGAGTGAAACCATTGACGTCTAAATAAGACAACACTGAAATGACCATGATAAGATATCTCAATGATTTCAGTTATTGAACCATAATAATTAACATTTCCCACAACAGGATTTTGATCTTTGAAGCTTGCAAAGCTATGTGTAATGGTTGTTAGAGTGAAGCCACTATTTTGAGTTACGCAGTTTGCATCTCGCTTCATGGTATGAAATCTATAGCCATTAACCGAGTATCCTATGTACTTTTTGGCAACGTGAGAGGGACCTTTTGATAACCACAAAATATGGTCCGGGATATTATCATGGCCATCTTTAAGAATCAAATCAACTTTCTCCCTAAACCAATCCATAAAATCCTTGCTATGGTCTTGAGCACTATTCCATTTTCTTTTCCTTTTAGCACTTACACAAATCTTGTGCTCACTGTAAAAAAAAAAATATTTCTCTTACTAACGCACTAGAGTTAGAATAAAGACATTTTATAAAAAAATATTAATAAACCTAAATTTTTATTACAAATCTTACCTTATATATTTCTCAACTTCCTCACAATGACAATTGAACATGACATAACGATGTGCTTGTGCCTATGTATTGCGATCAATTATGTTTCCACGATTTTTTTTCTTTGAGGTCCTTCCTTTTCCTTTGATAGGATGTCCTACCTTAGGGAAAAATGATTTTGAGGTACCACACTCATTAACTTCAGGTGTGGCTTTGCTTGATCATTTCAAAAATCTAGCTATGAAAGCAACACATTCTTTAGCTTGGTTTCCTTCTGCCATTGAGCCTTCTGGACGAGCCTTGTTTCGAACATCTTGTTTCATTTCATGAAGATTCCTCTCAATTCCATACATACACCTTGAACTAACAGGTCCACCCAACTTAATTTGGTCAACCAAGTGTATGGGTAAATGTTCCATTATATCAAAAAAAGCAGGTGGAAAAATCCTCTCAAGTAGGCATAAAGTTTCAACTATATCAGATTGCAATTTGTCAAGATCTCGAGGATCAATAGTTTTACTCCATATACCTTTGAAAAAGCAGAAAGTCTTATCAAAGGACTAGCAACATCTTTGGGTAATGTTGTCTTCACAACAATTGGAAGAAGATAATTCATCATAAAATGAGCATCATGACTTTTGTAGCCTGCTATTTTCCTTTCTCCAACTTGCACACAACGACTAAGGTTGGAAGCATAACCTTGAGGAAGCTTAGCATTTTTTATAACCTAACAGAACTTACGCTTTTGCTCCAATGACATCCAAAAGTGAGATCTTGGAAATTCTTCACTACCATCTTCCAATTCAATTGGTTGAAGCTCTGGCATCAAATTAAGTTCTACCAAATCTCGACGAGCACTCACATTATCCTTGGTCTTCGGAGAAATGTCTAATAATGTCCCAATGATATTATCAAAGAAATTTTTCTCAATATGCATTACATCAAGATTATGGCGATTAGAGCAATGCTTCCAATATGGTAACTCGAAAAATATGAGTATCTTTCTCCACGGATTCGGATCATCCACATCACGCCTTGGTTTCTTTTGCTTCTTTCCAAATGCATTTGGAAAATCACGCAACATATTCTCAATATCAATTCCATTCAATGGAATAGGTTGACATCTTTCCTCAAGTTTTCCGTCAAAATTCCTCTTATCATGATGCCAAGGGTGAGATGGATCCAAAAATCTACGATTTTCCCTATACACAGTCTTACCACTACAAGGCAACCACTCGGAATATGTTTCATAATGACATTCAGGGCATGCCAAGTATCCTTTTGTGCTCCACCCAGATCACATTGCATAACCCGGAAAATCACTCACGGTAGTCATCAATGCTACATGCATGTCAAACCTTTGATTAGTCAAAGCATCATAAGTTTCCAACCCAAACTCCCACAAATCCTTCAAGTCCTTGATAAGTGGCTGCAAATATATGTCAATGTCATTGCCAGGGGAAGACGGGTCGGGAACTAGTAAGGCTAGCATCAAAAACTCAGGCTTCATAATCATCCAAGGAGGCAAGTTATAATTAATCAACATAACTAGCCATGTACTATGGACAATGCTCATTGAATTGAATGGGCTAAATCCATCTGTGGCTAACCTAAGCCTCACATTGCGTGGGTCATCAGCAAACTTTGGGTATAAAGAATCAAATTCCTTCCAAGCTTTACCATCAACAGGATGATGTAAGAGATGATCATTTTCACGCCCAACAGCATGCCAAGTCATGTAATTCGCCGTGTCTTGACACAAAAATAGTCGTTGAAGCCTTTTCTTGATTGGAAAGTACCTAAGAATCTTTTGAGGAATCCTATAGGTTTTTCCATTTGCATTTTGTATGTCATTCTCTGTGTCATTTGATTTCCATCTTGGCGTCTCACAAACATGGCAGCTTGTTGCATTTTCATGCTCTTCCCAATATATCATGCAATCATTTGGGCACGCATCTATCTTAGTGTAATCCAACCCCAACACTTTCAGAACACTTTTTGCTTCATTAAAAGAAGCTGGCAGTTTCGCATTAGGTAACACCTCCCTTATAAGCTCCAATATATCTCCAAAAGCAACATTAGTTAGCTTATGATCACACTTCAAAATAAAAAGTCGGATCATGAAGGAAAGTTTTGAATTATTTTTACAACCAGGGAATAATTCTTCTTGGCCCTCTTCAACTAACTTGAAAAACTTTTTTACCTCGTCATTTGGCCCCTTTCTAAAATCATCACGTGCATCATGCAACAATTCTACTATGTCATCATTAAAATCATTTGGGGTTGACCCTTCTTCATTATCCAAAACAAATTGTTCCCTTTCAAAGTTGATCCCTAACTCTGATAACTTATCCGTTCGTGGAACAAAACCATTACAAATAAGGTGATCTCTCACAACACCTTCATGATGCCAAAAACGATAATGACAACTTTCACAAGGACAACAAATTTGATTTCCTTGAGACTTAGAAGCAAAAGCCTTTTGTACATATTCATCTACTCCCCGTTCATATTCATCACTCCATTTGGCAAACATCCACCACTCTTTAGTTCCACTATCCATACCTTTTGGTAAGAATTAATAGGGTTATTTTACTTAATTTTAACAATAAAAACATTTAATCAATTCACTAAGAATTTAGAGAGTCACTTTAATCAATTAGAAAGAATAGACATTAAATCTGCTTTACAACAACCAGGAAGAAAGAGGACTAGTCTAAAAATAAAATTCTGCTCCACAATTTAAATTGTAGCCATGACTCATGAGTTGTGATACATAAGAGCATTTTCACACATACATTTCCATGAGAAATAAATATTTTATTTGAAAATAAAAATATATCATAAATCGTCAACAAATTACCAATATACTCCAACAAACAAAGGTGCCTTAACCAACAACTCAAAGAAACCTTTCATTATCAGAACCAGCAACAAAGAAAGTACTTAAGAGTCCTTCATGTACATGATCAATTCAAAAGCCCAAAAGAAATTGATACCTTTCATTATTCAGCAATATATATTAGATAGATTATGGTAAAAGCTTTTCTAGATTAATTAGCATGGGTTGTGTAGTTCAAGACCATAGGGGGAAATGTTAGGTTGCTTTCCACCTACACTTTCATGCTTTATTTGAATTAAAATCATGGGATAGGTGTTAGAGATGTACCATGGATAATGAAGCGTGCTTTTACATCTATAAAGGCAAAAACTAGTTACAAGTAGGAGTGAGCAAGAACATTAGCCCAAATGTGGATTCGAAAGATATAAGTCATGTCTGGTGTAGAATAGATTAAAAACCGGACCTGAAATCCGTTCCTTATTCAGGTGTACAAGTCAAAGTCTGGTCTCAAAATCAAATTTAGTTAAAAAAAAGTTAGCTCATTAGTTGGAGTTTCCAATTACGGTTGAATATTCTTTGTGAAACCAAATTCTTCTGCTAAATTACCATTTTGTATAATCTCTATGGACATAGCAGCATAGGTAGTAAATAAATTTGGGAGAAAAGGGGAAGATTTTAAACTATCTCACATCACATCAGTCTACGGTACAGTGTATCTAGCTGACTAAAAACTAAACAAAAAAAAAAAAGGTAACCTGCAAATCTTCCATACTTTGAAATGAAAATTACAAACTGGAATGTCTGAACAGAAGTTGATCAATGTTCGGGTTTTTCCAATAATGATATGAGGATAAATTAATGAAAAATCAGGGAAGTACCACAACACCGCCCTACCCCAGAAATATACATGCTCTCAAGATATCACGTATACCTTTATCTACCAATAGCAGAAACAAGTACATCTACGACTCCAACTGCACGGGCAATCTCAAGATATTATCGACCAAAAGGTACTAAGAAAACCCCTAAACTTCGATATTAGCACTATATACAGTAATATCATTTTTCTTTATAGTTTAAGCCATTTAATTCCTTTCTTGATAAGTTAAAGGGAAAACAAAAGGAGGGTTATAAGCCAAACCAGATAAATAGAGCACCAAAGATATTATATAAATAGAGCACCCAAAATATTATGTACAAAAACAAAGAAGCTCAAAACGGAATCACTGAACCCAGATGAACACCAATCTGATACTCAAACCCTTTAATCATCTTATTTACAAGTACACATTCACCGAAAATTCAGCACATATATCATCAACAAAAAAAACACCTAATCACATGAAACACAAAGGCAATAAGATATGCTGTAAGAGATTGTTAATGACCTATTGCATCGAAGGAGTCCCTCTCATCATATCAATGTTGGGTAATTTCAATACTGCTAAAAGAAACCCATTAAATCTGAGCACAATATACAACCCAAATTTCGAGCACAATATACACCAGAAAATCACAGCATTTTTTTCCAATATAATTGAAGCAAAAACAACTACAAATTCAACCAAACATAGCCCAACAATATATAGCATTTTTGCAATAAAATTAAGGAAAAAAACCATGAAATTCAAACTCAAAGATAAAGTAATTCCATGGCCTTAAATACAAATTCCAAAATACCGCAATAACAATTTAAATTTTATATATCAAAATGCAACAACAAAAATTTCGATTAGAAATTTCAGAAATGAAAAACGGAGATTTTCGAGATATCAGCCACATGCAATAACAATTTAAATTTTATATATCAAAATGCAACAACAAAAATTTCGATTAAAAATTTCAGAAATTTAAGAAATTTTATATACCTTGAAGGGGCTTGAACTCAATTTCGAGATATCAGCCACATGCAAGATGAAAATGGAGATTTTCGCCGCCTCTTGAGCAACCAGACGTCACCTGAAGTTCGCCACCTCTTGAGTTCCGCCTTCGTCTACTTCGCCACCTCTCAATTTCAATTAGTTTTCCTCTTGAGTAATTTCAATTACTTCGCCACCTCTTGAGTAATTTCAGAAATAAAAAATGGAGATTTGGGGAAAATTGAGAATTTGAAGTTTTTGAAAATGGAGAATTGGGGGAAATGGAGAAAATGGAGAATTGGGGGAAGTAGCTCTTAGTGTATTGAAATGGAGAAGTATCAGGTAGTGTACGAGAGAATTGGGGGAAATATTTCTTTTGTTTTTTTTTTTTTTTCTTATTTTTTGCCCTTGGAATAGTATAAGGGTTCAAAAAATTTGGGAAAAAAAGTAGAGGGAAGCTGAAATTTTCAGCGCGCCTCCTATTTTTCCCATTACATAATTACTACCGTTGCAATAGCTTTCCCTTTTATTGATATATCTAGGCTGATGCAACGGTTCATTATAGCCATTGTAATAGATCTACCGTCTGTCGCATTAGCCTACTCTATTGCAACGGCAATTAAATACCATTGTATTAGCCTTTTTTAGGCCATGGCATTTGATGAAAAATGTAGTAGTGTTTCTTGAGAGAAAAGAACCATTGCTGGCAAACGATTTTGAGAGATAGTGAGAACAAAGAAGGAAACACCTTCTTGTCAATACCCTTAATACTCATTATTGTTTCGAAGGCTCTTAAATGAAAGTAAGGGTTGTCAGTCACTTTGAATTTCGGGATGTCGTTGGCATTGAACTTCTGCGGAAGAAGATCCTTGTCCATCGAGACCCCTTGTGAGCTAACTCCTTGAAACTTATAGTCACTAGACAGTTTGCTCAGACTCTCTTGCATGAGGTCCATCTGTTGTTGTTTCACAGGATCATCAATCTTGAGGGTTAGGACCTTTAATGCCTCAGTCACGGTAATCAGTTGGTTCCTGAGCTCATTAACTTCCTCTTGAGTTGCCATTATTGTCTTAGCTTTCCTTTTACGAGCGATTGGTTTGTCGAAAAGTTGGACTTGAATAAAAAAGTTTTCTTTGATCAAACGCCCTTCCTTTCTTGACCACGCGCTGTAAATTAAACCATTTTTGTTTTAATTACTTGACTCAAATTGACCTTGACTTTACGGTTTGAAAAGAAGAAAAAAAGAAGCAAAAAATAGGTGCATTTTTTTGGCAAAAATAAGGTATATATTTTTGGGAGTTAAGTATAGGGTTCAAATAAGTGGTTTAATTGGAGGATTAATATCCAATTTACCCCCCTAAAAATGATGGAAAATACGCGTATACAAGACTCCCTTTGACATGGTCAAAGTGTACATTAGTGTGTGCTTTATGTGGTGAGTGTTAGTGACATGCTTTGACTCTTGTGTAAGACCATGGGACTTAGAGCTTAGATTCGATTAATGGCTTGACAAGGTGTTATTACCAGTAAAAATTAGCTGAATCGACTAGAAAACTGCTCAATTAGAAATAAGGTGATGACTCGAGCAACAAACCGAACTGTCATCAAAACGACAAGACTGGCGCCTCTTTTTGCAGTGTAGCGCCAGACAACAGGACTGTCGCTAGGCGCTACACTCCACAGAGTGGCGCTGCAGTTTAAATCTTGGCGCCATTGCTGGAACGTCGATCTGGAACTGCTTTCTGTATTATTACTCTACAGGGTATGCCTAAAGTCGTACTAAGTTAACTCTGATTAAATTATTAAGATTTATTTACTCTAATTAATTAATTAATTAGGCAAAGTTATTTTAGTCATAAATCAATTTATTTAATCTTAGCACAAGTCAAACAAACGGTTAGGAAAAACACATAGAGTATGGATAACCAATAATGCACAACTAGTCAAGTAGGAACAACATGATGCAATGAGTTTGTAACCTAATCATGGCTCTAGTTCTCTAAAGTTCGGAATATGGGTTAGTCTATATAGGGTCCATGGTTAGTTGTCCGGATGCACCGCGCGGAAGCCTATCCGTGAAGGGTTGGCGCGAGTGGATGGGACACCGCGAATTTAGAAAAACTCGCTTCCATGGTTTGGTGAATTCAACATTCTCGAATGAACCCTTTGTTGCTCAGCGTTTAATCAGGTAGATGGAGCATGAATTCCAAGGGGGTTATGTCCATACTTAGAACACATATGGGTTTTGAAAAAGCAAGAAAAACTCAATCAGCAAGTAGGATCGAGCAAACATTGCTAAAAACTAGTCGAAATTAGAACGCATATTTCTGGCTTGGTATTGGAAGAACTTGGCGCCAGCAAACAGAGTCCAGCGCCACCTTTTGGCTTTAGCGCCTGGTAACAGAAGCTGTCGTCTGGCGCTAACATCAAAATGTTGGCGCTAGTCTTTGTTCGCTGACGCTAGTTCCTACATGCCTCAACAGCTTTATGTGCTCGATAAAATTTTCCAGTTTCGTGCAGCATTATTTCGATCCTAGTTGTGAAAGATATTCCTCAAATTTCCTGCGTGCAAAAATCCTATGTTTTTAACTCATTACGGATGGTCTTTCCCATGAGATCTTTTTTATGCATATGACAATAATGTTAATCAAAATTATGCACATGAAATACTTAGAACTTTTCGAGTTTCATCCACTCATTCTAAATCATTGCCGAATTAAATTTCAGGAATTAAAATAGAAATCCTCCCCAGTGGAGTCGCCAAAAAAATGTAGGGAATATTTCAAGCATTACCCCAATCTTGAACCCCACTGTGATCATACACTAAAGTACGGTGGCGTCCAAAGGGAAAGAAGATAGAGTAAAAGAGTCGCCAACAAATTTTAGGAACTTGTAAACCGTTCATAGGGTGAAGGTTACACCCCTTAACGATCCAAGAGATCGTCAACTCCAATAGGTCTGGAACCATGACTGGTAGTTCGGGGATAAAGGTACAAATCCAACCTAAAAGAGATTGAACCTGCCCTAATAATAGGCCTCTACTTTATTCTGATCGTATTCATGTGCGTTTTCTGACTAAAATGCAATCAATAGGTTTACCCTAAACCTGTTTAATCTATGTTGGTTGAATATTAATGCAAAAATAAACTATTATATTGGTGATCACTTGAATTATAATCATAATTAACCCTAAACAAGATTATTAATTATCTTATTAAGCGTGATTACAAGTACCAATTCCCTTTAAACATGCATAAAAGGCGTGATCAAGCAATAACAATAAATATATCAAGCAACATAATAATAATAATAATAATAATAATAATCCAAATAATTATAATAATAATTAACCATAATAACAATCATAAGCACAATCATGTTAAGGTATAATGATAGCAAGATCCTAGGCATGATACTAACACGATTAATAACAAACCCTAGCATGTCACTAAACATTAAAAATCAAATCTTTATCCCTAACATGATACTAACATGAATATTAGGAAAGAATATAGGAAGCATCGCAGAAATCATAATAAGCATATTTGATATTATAACCTTTTCCCTAAACATAATAACAGGAATTATTGTTGTCTCCAAAGCATCAAGTATCCTAACATGATACTAGGAATCATAATAACAACCTAGACATGATTTATATATCATAATATCAATAAATCAATTAAAGCACTTACTTGGATGCCTCGTATCTCTTTTAAATAACAAAATACACATGTTAGTAACTTCAAGGAAAATATAAAACAATAATTAAATTAAATAATTGAAAAAGAGATTTGGAACCAAACCCTCAGAAATTAAAACCTTTCATGTCTAGGGTGAAGGCAACTTCGAACAATGCTAGGTGTTTCTTGGTCTTGTGAATGCGGAATTTTGTATAAAAGGGTTGGTTTAGAAAAGATAGAGAGAGAGAGAGAGACAGAGAGACAGAGAACAAGCTTTAGCTTCGAGATAGAAGAGAATTAGAGAATTGGTGATTGTAGATGATTGTAGATGATTAAAAACGGAATTTTTAGGAGGCTATTTATAGAGAAAATCAGCTAAAAAGATAGAAAAACAAATCAGAGTTTCGACGTGAAAAATCGAAGTTAGCGCCAGGCGCTAATCAATTTTTTTACGCGTTTTCTAAATTCAGATAAAATTTAACCGTACATAGGGCAAAATCGTATTTTCCTTAAAAAACACTCTTTTATTCTAATTAAAACTCCAAAAAGTCAACAAAACTCAATTTATCAATGTTAACTGAATTAGGAATGAAAAGAACCTTATAGAAGAATCTAGGAGACTAAAATCATTCCTAATTGCATTAGGAATGATAAATTCATTTTAGGCCCTCCTCTAGATCATTGGGCCGCATATAAGGCTCAAACCGAGCCCAGTTTAGTAATTTGTCCATAACTCCCTCAATATTCATCGAAATTGGGCTTATAGTATATCGTTGGAAAGCTCTTTTCAAGCCCCATCCAACTACACTATTATTGGACCTTTGCTATGAAACAAACCAAGCTGGATTGGTTTTTTTCTTAGAATAGGTTTTTTAAAAACAAAGAGAAGAGAAAATAAATTAAAACTATCCGCAACACTAGAATTTCTACACTTTCACTTCATTCGATTATGATTCGACGTGAAAAGTACTCATCACCTAGTTTGATTTTGGGGAGACACAAATGAGTGTCTACACCAACCAAAGTTCTTTTAGAGTTAAATATGTTATCAACCCTAGCTCACCAACTGTAACACCTCTCCTCACTCTCTCTTCCATTATAGCAGCCTTAAACACACAAGCTGACCCAATAAGCTCTATGAGAGGGAAGATTAAAGGCCAGATAGCCCCATCCCCATTAATGACTTGATTCCAGATTATAGCACTAAGAGTGACAATGAAGACCCTCCATACAACCCACTAGTTGACAAGGGCAAGGGAGTGAGTTCTAAGCCTTTCTTTGGAGATGTATTCACATATGAAAGTGATAAGGATGTGGAGTCAGTTGGGGAGCAGGCTGGTGTTGTTGATTTAGAAGTAGAGGCTAAAGCTTTAGAGGAGTTTGAGGAAGAGTATGAGAGGGAACATGAAGAGATTTTTGATGAGGATTTGCAATATCAGTCTGATAGTAGAGATGAGGAGTAAAACATAGCTGACAAAGGGTTAGGGATACAACTGCCTAGCTAGTTGACATTGCAAGGAAAATATAAGTGGAGGATGCTAGGGGTTTGAGCATAAAAGAAAATCAAGGGAACATGACAGAGGTTGGGGAAAGTGCAGCTATTGGGGCTTAAAGTGATTATGAAGACAGTGATGAAGAAATTCATACCCCCCCCCCCAACAGTGGTGATGAAGAAGAGTTGATTCCTGGGAGGGAAAAAAGGTTAGGGCTGTTAGTGTCTAAGCATACAGA